CTCTGGCATTTCGACTGAGAGCTTTCCCCGCCTTCCTCTGCTGGGTTCTGAGTGGCCCCACTGTGCTTCATGACATGGTGTTCTGTTTTACAGAGAAGCTATGATGTTTACCTTGCTTAAGTTCTAGATTTGGATGGATTCATGCAGACAGGAAGGTGCCTTCTCATTTCTTGCCCCCCTTCCCTCCCATGTAGGTTCTGCAGGGCTTGTCCATAACATGCCAGAACTGACATACCCCCAGCATTTAGAAACCTGAGAAAATCCAAGCAGGCATTTCTCTAGGATTTAACAATTACAGTGACACACACATGAGCCCCATGGAGTAACATTAAGCCTGTGGTAATATTAATTGCTTTGCTAATTAACTTTGAAGCAATGGAATAATCAGTGACAGGGAGCACCTCCCATTCTCCTCTCTCCCTCAATGCCTCCTGTTAGTAAAAATAGCCATGCCCGAGCCTTGAAATCACAACACTAAATAGGAAATTACAGGTAGGAATGTGGTAAGCATTTCTCTGTGCTAAGGGGAGGGAAGAGGCTGAAGGAACATGTGGTCAGCAACACCCATGAAAGATTGCTTTGAATCCCAAGAAAAGGGAACATTGAACCGAAGTCTTAAATGTGGAACAATACATTGTCTCTTGGTATGTCATTTTATCTACCATCAAAATGCAATCAACTCTGGGGGTGGAATGCCTCAACTGTCTAATAGCATACTGTGCACTACTATGCTGCAGGTTAGGAGAGAATGTGAAGCACATTGTATACAACTGGAACAGCTGGGGAAATTCTTAGGGGCAGCATATAAATGCTTTGACCACAATTTGGTCAAGACTCTGGGGTTAATGCCCTCTGACTAATAACGATAGTCACCAAGATCTATGAACATGAGTGGCCAAGACCTCAACGTTGTCTCCTCTAAAAAGACGCAACCTCTTATTTTCAATGTAAGTGAAAGATTGCTCCACTCCTCGGCCTCTCTCCTCAACTGTGATGGTCCTTGTGGGTTTGGAAAAATTCTGCCACTTGTATGTTAAAAGTTACTGTAAGAAAATATGAAGTATGTGCAACAGAGGAAGTAAGTTTCTCCTGCCCGCATAGTTGGAAAGTTACCTCTAATCTCATTGTCCTTTCTTCCTGCTCTGTATCCTGCCAATTAGAACTGGGGTTTATTTAGCTGCAAATAATCTGGCTAGACCTTTGGCCTGGTCTTCTTCCAGCTTAGTTCTTGTTCTGTCCAAGTCCCCAGTCTTACCTCTTTGTTCCCTTTCACAACCACAGGCCTCATTTTGTGTTCATACTTCTTACCCTAAATAGCTTGTGCCACTGTCTTCTCCCTCCCACTGTCTCCTATCCAATACATGACTGATTACAGTATTCCTATACTGCCTGCAAATAGGCCCACTTCAAAAGAGTCGGTGTTGAGTGGGTGGAAGGGTGAATGCATGCATCACATCTCACTAAAAAACAATGAATAGTCTTGTAGCACCGTAGGGACTAACAAATATACATAGAATAGTATCATGAGCTATTGTGATTTATTTATTCTTTGTGACCACTGATACATATATATTTGTTAGGCTCTAAGGCAGTGGTCCGCAAAACCACTCTGAGAAACCTGTTAATTGGCTGCACCAGTTTGTTTACTTACCGGTGCAGTGGCCACAGAGCCTCATGGTCCTAATGGCTCCTGTTCAATGTTTGCTTCCCACGGCTGTATATGGCAAATGGGAGCCAACAGGACCATGAGGCTCCATGGCTGCGATGCGGGTAAGTAAACAAACCAGTGCAGCCAGTTACCAGGTTTCTCAAAGGTGGTTAGGCAGACCACTTTGAGAAACACTGGTCTAAGATTCTACAGGACTGCTTGTTTTTTAAAGACTAACATAGCTACTCCTCTGAGACTCACCTCAGCAGTTCACATTCAGGTCTCAGCACACTGCCAAGCCATACCCATGGGGCTGAGGCTTACCCTGGGCACATAGCCCGTGGCTGCTGGAGCTAAAGCCAGCTGTTTGCGGTGGCTCTGGGGCTGAAGCCAGCTGCTGTGTGGAATCTTCAGCTCCAGCAGCCACCACATGGCAGGCGGCTACCACAGCTGAAGCCAGCTGTTTGTGGCAGCTCTGGAGGCAAGGGGGTCTAAATTTCAAAGAAATGTGCGAAAAGATGCAGTAGCCAAAGTCCCATTAAATTAGTATGTGAGTACAATGTTTAATGTATATTATTAATCATGTCAATTATCAATAATATTATGTTGTATATTTTCAGTCATGCAAATGGGCATTCTTATACTGGCTTGTTAAGACCACTTGTTCTGATTTTTTTTTTTATGTAGTTTGGCTCTTTGCCTTGAAAAGGTTGTAGACCCCTGCTGTATGGGGTGGTGCCAAAATTCCAGGTGGGTTAAAAGCTTTTAGGCTGCTTTAGAATACTGGCATAAAAGGCCTAGCTCACGAGATTTGCATGATTACATTTCAAACAATTTACATAGGTGTTAATGGCTTAAGATAAAAAAGGAAAGGATTCTTTTAACAGAATTTTTTAGTGTGGTAGATATCTGCAAACTCTGATCTTAATGATTCTATGCATATAATTTGCATAATGAATATGCAAATAAATGTTACCTGTCCACCAAAAATTTGTGAATGGGTTTGCCTATCTGTAGTACAAAAAAGGTTGGGAACCACTGCTCTGAAGCACTTGGGCATGAACTGTAGTACAGCGGGGCACTGTGTGAAATAAGCGGATAAATAACTCCTTGCCATCTCTTCCTCCGTCATGTTGCATTTGCACAGTGAGCTGGTGCATCATACAGATTTCACTGTGAGCACTGAGAGTCAGGCTGTTTGTAGGGGCACATTATTGGGGTGAGAAGTGGATATCGTGGAGACTCTTGTCCCTATTTAAAAAGCAGACAGCCTTCTAGGAGTTCAGAGAATAGACTCCTGGGAAATCTTTGGATTTTAAGAGATTAAGAAAATGTGGCTGCTGTGCCAGTATTTTGCTAATTTACACTTTAGGTAAAGGATGGGGACTGTAGATATGGTACATGTTTTGGCCTGACAATTTTGGGGCCCTTGATGATTGTTTGGGGGTGCAGATGTCCGATTTGCCTCCGAACAGCCTTGGGCCTGTGGAGGACTTAGTATAAGCTCCTTGTCTTCTAAAACACAGTATACCCTTATAGCCATACAGCCTTCTGGCTCTCTGTTACCTTGTATTCAGTGAGGTTCAGTGTGGTCATTAATTGGCCATCACGGTGGACTTATGATGTTGATGGAAGTGGCTCTAGCCTCTTTACTTCCTTGCACCTTGAGTGAAAGCAGGGCGGTCATCGCCAGGAATAAATCTGAGGGGACAACATAGTGCTGTCCAGTCGAGTGTTTTCCTGAGGGATCCATTTCAGCTGTTCTAGACATTTACCGACACTGACCCTTGAAATCCTTTTGCCCAGAAAATGCAGCATGTCCATTAAGGCACCATGGACTGGGTTTGGGATCCTGGAGCCCATTTTCTGCATCAAACATCAGTTGTGCTGTACACTACTCATTTCCATACTGACAGCTAGGGGACAGCAGCCAGTTCACAGGCAGTCAGCTGAGTGAAAGCCACAATTCCATAAGGGGTGCTCAGTACCCCCATCTGAAACAACTTATAAGGAGGGATGAAGGGTCATTTCCCAGTGTGTTTGCATGGCTCAAGGCCCCCTTCAGGGGCAGTTTCATCAAGAGCTGATCTGAGAAGGAATTTGAATTGACGCTTCCTAGTCTCTGAAGAAACAGGTCTTCAGACTTCAGGGTGCTAATCCTCTATCTTTCACTGGCATTTGTTTCCATAAAAGGAAAGAACCCCGGAAGCACCAACACACACCAGGCAGATTGCAACCACAATTCAGTATACTAATAATACTTAGCACTGTACATTACTGTAATGTCACTTACTACATTAACTAAATACATCCTCACAGCACCCCTGTGAGGGAGGGAAGTGCTACAGTCTCCATTGTACACATGGGGAAACTCAGGCACAGAGAGGATAAGTGACTTTCCCAAGACCACACAGCAATGCATTGGCAGAGCTAAGACAAGACTATAGGGCTATGTCTACACTCGTGGCTTCTTACGCAAGTATGGCCTTTCTTGCGCAAGAATCCGCAGAGTGTCTACACTGCCCACCCGCTCTTGCGCAAGGAAATTTACAGTACGGCGTGGTAAGAGAGGGCTTCTTGCGCAAGAGCTACGCTCTTTTTTTTTAACAGGTGTAAGCCCTCTTGTGCAGGAGCTCTTGCGCAAGAGGGCAGTGTGGACGCTCGGCAGGGATTTCTTGTGCAAGAAAGCCCTATGGCTAAAATGGCCGTCGGAGCTTTCTTGCGCAAGAGAGCATCCACGCTGCCATGGGCACTCTTGCGCAAAAGCAAGACTTCTTGCACAAGATGTTATTGCGCAAGAAGCTGCAAGTGTAGACATAGCCTAAGTGTTCTTGGCTCCCAGCCCCATGCTTATTTCTCTAGACTATGATGCCTCTCTGGCGATTAGGAACTCAGGAATCCCTTTGAAAAGTAATGTGTGGAATGTTAACCATTCACAATTTTTATTGGCAGATAATTATTCCACAGTTTAATCCCCATGCTGTACAGTGCGTTTACACCCTTCCGAGTTCCACAGCACTCTAGGAACCCACTCCCCCAGCATTGGGGCTGCTGTTTAGGAGTATCTTTTATTAAAAGGATGTTTAGGTTGGGCTTACTTAGCAGAACTCCTACTGAAGCCTTAAAACACAGAGCCTGTAAGGAAGGCACAGGCTGGGGAACTGGTGAAAGGGAAATTTGCTTCCCCTCCTGAAGTGGCCAATAGCTCTCTTTGTTTTCTGGCTCAGTAGAATTCCAGTGACCGCTACCAGCAGTTACATAGATTATGCCCTAATAAATGTGTTCGTCTCTAAGGTGCCACAGGACTCCTCGTTGTTTTTGCAGCTACCAGCAGGAACAAGTTTGTCTCCAGTTGGTTGGTTGGTCAGTTACAGCCTCCGAGGTGTTTCCTTTAGTGCAGAGTTGCAGCGAGCAGCCAGCTCAAGGCTCTCCTCACTTCCTCCAAACTTCTGCCACTGTCCCAGAATCAGGCAGTCTGCCCCCCCACTAAGGGGGACTGGGTTACAACCACTGTGCTGGCAAGCAGCCAAACCCAGAGTCCGAGTCTCTTCTTTTAAAACTGGGATTAAATTAAGAGCGCAGGAGGGAGGAGGGAGAGATGGGGATGGGTTGGAGCAAATGGACAAATCCACCCAATGAGCATCTGGGAAAGAAATGTCCCCCTGCCGCTGAAGCAGGTTCCTTTCATAAGGCTTCTTTCTCCCTCTGGGAACATCTGCTAAGCTTCATCTCCGTCAGCTGGATATACCGTATGACATTGGTATCTGCAGAGAAAGAGGACACATGCACCCACAGTGATTATAACTTCCAGCAAAGAACTTACAAGCTACACCACAGACATTCCTGTTGCTGTTAGTCACGTCTCCTTTTTATAAACACTGCTCCTGAATTTCCCAGGCCACAGGAACTGTCCCACAAGGAAGATCTTCTGGTCTAGTACTTGGTCACCTGCCTGGAACAGAAATCTGCTCTTTACCCCTGCTCTTAAGATCTTTGGCCAGACCTTGGTGAACTCTTGCCCTGAATACTGTAATCTTCTCTCCCACTTATCTTCTGCCTTCACCCCAAGCTGTTCTATCCAATATACTGAAGTTGTCATCTCCTGTTGATTTCTGATAGAGTTCCTTCTGTTGGTTTCCTCTGTCCAATGCCTCATGTTTTGGCCCCTCATTTTCACTTACATATCTTTATACGTTCTTTTCTCACCTACAGCTCTTCTTTTACATTGAACGTGGGAGTTGAAAAAAGTATCTCCAGCTTCTGATTGCTTGCTTTCTGCCATGCTGCCCCTATGCCTTGAAAGTATGCCTCTCTTGGCTGAGCAAATTACCCCTCTTCTCCTTCAGACTCACTTCTGGGAATCTATCCTCCCTCCCCCAGTAATCCATACATTGGCCCTACAGTTCTTTCTGCGGCCTTGTCCATTTTGGATAAGTTCTTAGGGGCAAGGAATGTCCTGATCTTTGTTTGCACAGTGCTGTGTGAGTCTACGGGGCTGTACAGGTGACAA